ATTCAACGTTTCACTTTCTAAAATGCAATGGCTGGGATTACGAAAGAAGTCGTCGCATTGAAGTGTTAAATCAGTTTAGGAGAACTGACTTATTTACAATGTTGATTCTCGCAATCCTTTACTAAGGTGTTCCCTTCTATTTTCTTAAGACTTCTTCAACATCGCTCAGCAATGCTTGCAGTTTTCTGTGTAAAAGACCCTCGCACGGGCTACATTTAGTCCTAGAGACTTGATTTCAAATGCTACGGTAATTGCTACCATTTTAAATAGAATTTTCTAACGAACAAGTGTATTGAAATGCACCTGTTTGTAATGTTGGCCTTTAATTGGTAACCTGGTTAAATTCACTTACTTATTCTAATAGATTACCTGTGCCATCTAATACATTTTATGTGTACACGTGATGTCTACGCAAAAGGACGGCTTTATTTTTCTTTCCAATTCCCACAAATTTTCTTTCTTTTTTTTTTTTTTTGTCTTTTTGCACTAAGCGAAACCTCCAGTAGACTATTAAATGGACCTCATTTATGGTGGACATCGTCATCTTGTTTCCGTTCTGCAGCAGAGAGCTTTCAGAGCTTTATTATCAAGTATGATATTTTCTTTTACTTTTTCTTTTTTCTTTTTTTTTTTTTTTGAGATAATCTTTATCAGATAAAGGAAATTTCCCTCTATTCACGGTTTGCTGTAAGTTTTAGGCTGCGTGGATGCTGAAAATATCGAGTACTTATTTTGCATCTGTTGAGATGCTTGTGGGATTTTTAATGTTAATGGGACATCACCTTGTTTGAATTTTAAATCTTAAATCAGACATACATTCATAGGATGAACCCGATTTGGTTGTGATACTCGATGCTTTTGATATGCCGCTGGCTTGGTTTGTAAATATTTTGTCTAGGGTTTTTGTATCTACGCTCACGAGAATAATTTGCCTGCAATCTTCCTTTTCGGTAATGCCCTTGTAAAGTTCTGCGGTTGAGGTTACGGCTGGCCTCACCCGGAGTCTTTTGCCGTTTTTTCCGGCTGAGTTCCTGCAGGACGGGGGTCAGTTCTCCCTTAAGCGGTTTTAGTAATTTAATGCTGGGCCGTCCCTTGGGACTCCATTTTTCTTATTAGGAATGTTTTAAATGACAGAACCAATTCCATCCGCAGAAATAGGATCAGAGAGATTTTCTACTTCTTCTTGGTTTCGTTCTGGAAAATTGTGTTTTTCAGGGAATTTATTCATGCCATCTAAAATTTCAAATTTATTCGTACAAACGCTGTGACTAAGGATATTATTCCGAATCGCCTCGGGGGTCCAACGTAATCATGAGCATCCGTATATGAGCAAGAGGGTGGCAGGAGGGGCAGCAGCAGGGAAGACACGGTGATGTCAGCAGAGCTCAAAGACACAACTACTGGCCAGAGGATGCAACCTGGGAGCACAGGTGGCCTCTCAGGCTAGAACAGGTGAGGAAAGAGGTTCCTCCTGCAGCCTCCGGGGGGAACACAGGCCGAAACGCCTGCACGGCAGCCCCTTAATACCCGTCTCAGGTGTCTGGTCTCCTGGACCGTAAGACAATACATTTGTGCCGTTTTAAGCCTCTAAATTTGTGGCGATTGGTTACATCAGCACTAGGAAGGGCACACAGCCTGTCCTCACTTCTAACGTCCCCAGGGTCTAGGGTGACGCCTCCTGTTGCGTTCCGGGTGTCACCCGTCTGTGCTGACACGGTGGCTCCTGTCTGGTCGATGGGCCTTCAGCTTCCTCTACCTCTCCACTTCGCCTTCTTTGGAAACTCTTGGTGACAAGTGGCACCAACTCTCCTGGTTTTTCTTCTACTTCCATGGTTCCTCCCTCTCCGTCCTTTTAGCAGGATTGTTCTCAATTCGACAGGGTTTGTCACAGGCTGAACCTTGGACCTTCTCTGCTGCCGTCTCTGCGTTCGGTTCCTACGTTGCCTGCACGGCCGTGGCTCTGGGCGTCACGCAGATGAGACGACAGCTCACAGGTACGTGTCTCCAGTGCCCCGAACCCCAACCGGACGTCTCAGCATCACTGCACTGTGGAGGAGCCCAGACTTTGAGCCCCATGGGTTGCCCTCCCTTTCCCCTCCCCCCTCCTTATCTCAGTCAGATCTTCATCTGCCCCCTACTTAAGCCAAGCCTGGGGTCATTTTCTATCTCATTTTAGTCCTTTGTTTAAAATGTAGTGACTTCACATTAGACAGGAAGGAAGGAGGAAAGGAAAGGAAGGGAAAGGAAAGGAAAGGAAAGGAAAGGAAAGGAAAGGAAAGGAAAGGAAAGGAAAGGAAAGGAAAGGAAAGGAAAGGGGAAACGAAAGGAAAGGGGAAAGGAAAAGAAAGGAAAGAGGAAAGGAAAAGAAAGAGGAAAGGAAAAGAAAGGAAAAAGGAAAGGAAAGAAAAGGAAAGGAAAGGAAAGGAAAGGAAAGGAAAGGAAAAAGGAAAAAGGACAGGAAAGGAAAGGAAAGGAAAGGAAAGGAAAGGAAAGGAAAGGAAAGGAAAAAGGACAGGAAAGGAAAGGAAAGGGGAAAGGAAAAAGGAAAGGAAAAGAAAGGAAAGGAAAGGAAAAAGGACAGGAAAGGAAAGGAAAAGGGAAAGGAAAGGAAAGGAAGGAAAGGAAAGGAAAGGAAAGGAAAGGAAAGGAAAGGAAAGGAAAGGAAAGGAAAGGAAAGGAAAGGAAAGGGGAAAGAGGAAAGGAAAACAAGAAAACCTCCTCACCAAGATCACAAAACCTTGTAAGACCTGACCCTGACCCCTCACCCCGGAGCTCCTACCTGGGCTCCCAGCTGCTCCAGTGGGCTCTGGACACTGGGCCCAGGGGCTCCAGGCCAGCTGCTCCCTCTGTCCCATTCCTGAGGCCTCCAAGGAGATTCACCGCCCCAGAAAGTTCCCTCCTGGGCTGTTCTCCCTGGGAACACCTCCCTCTTCCGCCCCTGACCTGGGCACCCAGGCTGTCTTCTTCCTAATGCAACGGGCCCTCGTAACATCTATCCTGCTCGGTGCTCTACGCGCTGTGCCTGGCGGGAGCTCTGAGAAGGCAGGGACCACGCACTTCGTCGTCCCGGGGTGTGGCGTTGAGTGAACGTGAGTCCCGTGGAGGGGGTGGTAGCAAGGCGAGAGACAACACTAAGAGTGGTTATTTCTGGGTTATGGGATGCAGAGTGATTTTTTTTTCTTTGTTCTTATTACACCTTACTATATAAACCGACTCTGTGTTGACCACATATTGCTCTTATAATCGGAAAAGCAAAACCTACAATCAAAATAGAAGAAAGAAGCATCTATTTGGTGGAATATTATCATTGAAAACTTGTTTTCTACGGTGGTGCTTTGAGGGTTCTACCCCTGCCTGATTGGAAAGCCACACAAACTCCCATTTAGTTTGAGTTTTACTGTCTCTTCTGTAACCACAAGGTCACTGCTTCTAAACAATGTGCGTGTGCAGACAGAAGAAGGGAGGGTCAGCACTTCTAACCTCTTTTTAAATCTTGGGTCCACTTCGAGGTTCTCACTTGTGCTTATTCTTTTTTTATTTTTTTCCCTTTTCCTCATTTCTCCTTGATTTTTTCAGGAAGGAAAGAGAGGGTTTGGGGGTTGTGTGTGTGTCTTTTGTTTGTTTGTTTTGTTTGGTTTTGTTTGTTTTTTTTTTTTCATTTGTCCCACAAGATTTCAAATTAATTTAAAAGGCTGTGGTTTGGACACAGTCGCCTTTCTGTCCAGAGGGTGTAAACTTTTCTTGGGGAAATCTCGCTTCCCGACTTCCCAAAATAGAGGATAGTCAATGTGGCTCCGCACGCCTTCGGTCCGAACACATTTATTTATGTGGATTCGCAAGTGAGTCACATCCCTGCTGCTGTCTTATCCTAGAGGGACTGGCAGCTGTACCGTATCCCACGTCAAAACTTTCCCTGAATCCTAAGAGCCCTAACGACAGTAGCCAATGTGACTGGGCACCAGCCCGGTGCTGAGCACCGGGACACCTTTGAGCACCTTTGCACGTGGCTGGCCACCGTCTCATTCCGCAGGGGAGGCGGTCGGCACCTGTGGGCACCTGTCGGCACCTGGAACTCCGGCTCTTTCTCCCGTCCCTGCTGGTCCTTTCCTGCATTTTCCCACTGTCCCCACCTCCCCCAACAGTCTCCCTCCTCCGGCTTCTTCCCTAAAGCAGGGAAGAAATAAAAACAAAGCCAAGCCAGCGAGATGACTCACTCATGAGCCAAGCACACTTTTGCTTTGATACCACACAGTGCCGAGGGCTCATTCTGACCGCAGCTCACTGCCGTCCCCCGGGGAACGGACTGCGAAGTCACTTTCTTGAGGAAATACAGCCACCCTTCAAAAGAAATCACTTTCTCTGCTGGGGTTGCCCCCTTCGCAACTTTCCAAGGCTCCGTTCAGAGCCCCCGGACTCCAATTCCCCTGTCACCGCATCCACCACTGGGGCGTGGGGGGTGGGCACAAGCCCCCGTGAGTCAGAGTCCTGAGTGTGGTTTCTCCAGAACCTTCTTCCCACGGCTTGGAAACATGATTTCACTGGAAGGTGCTCTCGTAAGCCCCGAGATGAACACTTGGAGTATATCAGCACTTCACAAACAGGGCGTGGTGGTGGTCACCCATGGGACAGAGACCAAGCTTGGGGACACTCGCCAGTCAGGCGGCCCGAGGTCCGTTGATGTTCACCTGCCTCCAAGAACGCAGATGATTTGCACTGCATGGGGTTGCTCGAGCAGGTCTGGGCAGAGGAGCAGAGAGGAAAGCTCATGAGGACTTTGGAACATGTAGACCCCCGGGGGCAGACGTCTCTGATGAGTTCGAGACAGGAAACGGCACACAGAGTCTGCTTTGGACTCCCCTGAAAATAGTGCACGACCAATTTCTTAGTTTTGGGGGGAACTCCCTTCACCCTGGAAGGTTGGCTGAAAGGACAACTCACAATAAAGCAGATGAATAAAGAAAAAGAGATTTATTTACCCTGAGCACAGGGAGAATGACAGAGTGACCAGTCAATAGGCCAGTGGGGCCCAGAAATTTATATATCCTCATTTTAGAGGGGAGGGCGGTGATAAGGGATATAGATTATTCTGTTTAGGGGCAATAAAGGGTTGCCAGGGGAGGATGAATGGGTGGGGGGGACCAGTGGAGAGACACATTGACTTGTAAATGATTCTCTTAGCAAATTAAAGGAACCTGAGAGACAGGTATTATATTGAAAAGGATTTGGGCCAGATCTGGTTGCATTCTTGATTTTCCTTCCTGTAATATAGTGAGATAACAGAGAGGGAAAGGGTAGTAGGTTGTTCTTTTTGGTGGGTCTGATTTTTTATGAAGAAAGAGAGAAAGCCCCTTCCAACAACTGTTGGGCACCAAGGGCCTTTCGTTCAAAATACGCTTCATACCAAGGGGTCCTATTTTGGAGTGACATTGGCCGAGCTCCATCTACAGGAGCAGGGATGACAATGTTCGCCCAGTATGTTCTCCTCCGCGCTTTGGGATGTGAGTTAAATTCTTGGAAAATTCTGAGCTTTGCGGTGGATCGTTTCATGAGGCAGAGAACTCACAATAAAAGCCTTGTGTAATGATTTCTTCTTCTGGTGGAAGAGTTCTGGAACGTAATCTATTCTTGGGCAAGAAAAAAAAAAAATGGACATTGTAATTGACCAGAGAGATTATCCTCCTTCATATACAAAAGCAAGCAGAGATCTGAAACCAAAATGACAGGTCTCGGAAGAGAAGGGTCAAAGACCTGGGCGGGGAGGGAGAGAAGACACCCTCAGGTGAGTCAGCTCCTCTAAACTCTAATTTGCGCTGATGAAGACTAGGATAATACCCCTTCTAGTGATGCCAGACAGGTATCCCTGCTAGGAGACCAAATGACAGGCTTCACATGAAAGCACTTAACCAACCATAAGATACTATTTAATTCCACCGCGAAAACTTCTGTTCATGAACTTTGAAGCAGAAGCTAATTTAAAAAATCGGTTAAGAAAAATCAGTACTTGAAATTTATTTATGCAGAGCTTGCTTGCAATATGTTCCTAGAAACAATGTTTGGTTTTCAAAATAGCATAGATGTGCACTCTATTTGGATATAACATGATAATCCTATTTCCAAGAAAGCTTATACAGTTAAGCATTGTTTTATAAACTATTGTTTCAGTGGGAAAAATTGGGGATATAGGTTAGATTATATCAGACTTTTTTTTTTTTTTTTTTGAGACAGAGTCTCACTCTGTTGCCCAGGCTAGACTACAGTGGCTTCAGCCTAGCTCACAGCAACCTCAGACTCTTGGGCCCAAACGATCCTCCTGCCTCAGCCTCCCGAGTAGGTGGGACCATAGGCATGCGCCACCACGCCCGGCTAATTTTTTTTTTTCTATTTTTAGTTGCCCAGATGATTTTTCTAATTTTAGTAGAGTACGGGGTCTCGCTCTTGCTCAGGCTGGCCTCGAACTCCTAGGCTCAAGCAATCCTCACGCCTCTGCCTCCCAGAGTGCCAGGATGGCAGCCGTGAGCCACCCCGCCCAGCCCGTGTCAGATTTATAATTGCAAATTTATTTTGCAGGCAGATATTTTAGTAAAGAGGCGAGTTAATCATTGTAGATGAATAAATTTCAGCCTAAACACCGTGGAGCGAGCGACTTCCACCTATGACAACATTGCTGCTTTCGTCACGGAGAGCCACCTTTCCTCTCCGCTGGCCACTAGCGCCATTCACAGGCTTCTTACGCGTCCTAGAAAACTTTGTCACTCGCCGCCGTGACATTTGATGCACAGAGCCACTCTACCGCCTGGACGATACCTCTGGGTAACCACCAATTACGGCTTTTAGGGCAAATTCTGCTTCCGAAATGACCTACCTCTTCATATCCATTTAAAACCTAGATAACCTCTTGCTGTGAAATTAATGCCTGCCCTGACAGTTATTTCAACTTTTAAATAAAATGAACCTCCAGAAAACGCATTTCCAGGTTAGGCTGAATAGTCATAGCGGTGGTGACAATATTAATGATAGTAATAAAAAGCCCCTTCTTGCTACGTACTTATTCTAGTGCGTCAGGGTCACTTCAGTGTCACCCGGTGAAGGTCTGTTGGAATTGTGACACTTTACGGCAGGGGGGGCCTCAAACTTTGTAAACAGGGGGGCCAGCTCACTGTCCCTGGGACCGTTGGAGAGTGCGCACTGTGGGCCTGGGACGAGTCGGCTGCTAAGCAGGACAGGCAGCGGCGGCAAAAACACCCGGAGGGCCGGATAAATGTGCCAGGCGGCCCGTACGTGGCCCGCGGGTGAAAGAGCCTGGACCATGGTCAGATAGATACGCCATGGTCCAGGCTCCCGACCTGCCCCGGCGTTCTCAGCAGAATGCTTCAGCCCCCCGAGGCTTCATTTGCACAATGCACCTCCCGGGCCACCGGGCCACGCCCAGTGGTGTCTGGCTGCCCAAGCGCCGCAGGAGAAAAATCAATTCCTTTCAGCTTCCAGGGGGGCTGGATTTTCTCTCCAGTCTCCCGGAATCTGATCTCAGAGGTGTCCCTCGCGCTCCTGCACGGTTCTGCGGGTACCTGGGATGGCGGCTTGGACTTCCCGCCCTCTCTCGCCTCGGTTCCCTTGCAGGGCGTGAGCTGCGCCCTGTCCAGCCGGAAGGTCGAGCTGTTCCGCAGAGAAAAGGGAAGCAGAACAGCAGGCGAGAGGCTCCGCTTTCTGTCACCTGCTCAGGCGGCTTGTTCCCTTCTTCCTGTCTTCTCCTCCCCAACCACACACACACACATACACGCACAGCTAGTACAGCCACCTGCACCTTTCTTCAGGACAGAAGCCACGCCAAGCCCGTCTGGACCATGGCGCCCCCGGTGCTGTTGGTCAGGTTCCAGCCCTGCCGCAAGTGGCTCTCGGTGCTGCGCCAGCTCTTCGACTTTGCCATCTCGCACGAGGACGGTGTCCCCGTCTGTCCCGGCCGCTGTGGCGGGGAATACAGTAAGCCGGGCGGCTCCTAACGATGAGGGGTCTCTCTCTGGGGTTTCTGTCCTAAGGGGCACTGATTCCAGCCACGAGGGCCCACCCATTCACGAGCGAATCACCTCCCAAAGGTCCCGCCTCCTGACACCGTCACTTTGGAGGGGGGGTCACAGTTTCAACACGTGGATTTTAGGAGGACAAAGAGCCCTCGGCCAGCAGCAGGGCAGGGGTCTCTCTCCCCAGGCAAGCCTCCCCTCCTGCAACTCACGGGGCCCAGGGCGGTGGTAGACTCAGGGGTTCCATCGTGGATCGGGAGTTTCCCCAGGGGAAGAGCTGATGGGTCAGTGGAGCCTCGGGCAAAGCAACGGACGACACCCTCCCCTGCCACCTTCTTGGGGTCCTGGTCCCTCTGCCGCCCTCGCTCCCAGGGCTGTCCCTCCCCGTCCATGCCATCGGGCCCCTGCACGGGTGTCCCTTCTGGAGAGCAAAGCCCCTTCCTCCCTTCCAACTTCCTCACGTCGCCCCTGGCAGTACACCTGCTTAAAAATACATGTTTCCCCTTTATAAACAACCGGGGATAAACTAGGTCAGCCCAGTGGTCTGAGCATCCCGAAGCGATCGCTCTCCCTGCGGAAATTAAGGAGAGACCGCCTTGCTTCTGCGTAAATCGTAAGGCTCAGAGCAAGAGAAAAAGGAAGTGACCCTTCACCCTCTAATCTTCAGGTATCCAGGTGATGTGTGACACCACGGAAGACCCACTGTCGCCATGGAGACGGCGGGCCCCATCCCCCTAGAAACGGCCTCTCCCCCCCCCCAATGCCAACTCGAGTCTCTGCCGAGGGTTTTCGAACTGATGGCGGCAGGTAGGTGTACCGACCTGGGTCCCCGACAATGGAATTGGTTTGGATTTTTCTTCCTTCTTTTTGCAAACTAGAGTGACCTTAGTTTAAGCATATACCCAATAAGAAGCACAACACAAAGCCCCCCCACTCACACACCTGGGTAAATACACGGTGGGGAGACGATGAAACCGTTGCCGGGCAACAAAGAGTGGGCAGCGTGGTCGCCGGCCCTCTGGGCTGGCTGGAGCCCCCGTCTCGCTGGAATACCACCGATGACACTAAGACGTCCGGCGTGGCCTGATGACATGGAAATCTTGGTTCGTTATTCCTGCTGCTCCACTGTTGAGAGGGGGAAAAAAAAGAGAGAAAAGGTCCCCAGTGCCTCATTCAGTCATAGTCAGACGAGCAGCACGAGATGCTCGGGGACAAGTGACCCCCAACGCCCCTTCATCGACTTCTGCCCTTGTGCACCTGCCTGTACCATTACTACTTCCACCTGCCCATGCCCCTTCTTCCAACAGAATATACCTAAACACAGTGCCCCTCATCAGGATCCTGCCCTTGTGCACCTGCCTGCACCATTACTACTTCCACCTGCCCATCCCCTTCTTCCAACAGAATATACCTAAACACAGTGCCCTTCATCAGGATCCTGCCCTTGTGCACCTGCCTGCACCATTACTACTTCCACCTGCCCATGCCCCTTCTTCCAACAGAATATACCTAAACACAGTACCCTTCATCAGGATCCTGCCCTTGTGCACCTGCCTGCACGATTACTTCCTCCACCTGCCCATCCCTTTCTTACAACAGCATATACCTAAACACAGTACCCTTCAGCAGGATCGTGCAGGGAGCCCACAAGGCGCATCACCGTGGGATGAGGGCCTCACCCAGGACTCCCCCGCCCCGGGGAAATACACTGGGAAGTACAAATCAGAGGCAAGCTTTGGCCACAGGCGTCTCTCAGTATTTTAATCAAGAAATTCATTTGTTGCTTGTGATGTTTACATTCTCGAGGCAAAGCAGATACTGGATATCAACATAATGAGGGCATTTTTTAAACAGTGAGACATGCTTTGCTTTGACCAGACAGCTCGGTTAAATATCATCCTAACAGAAACTCGATTTGCGATAGCTCACTGGAAACGTTGTTTTTTTTTTTTTTTTAAGAAGTAGATTGAAATTTTTCCTATCTTTGATTGGACAACTGTGGATTGAGGTCCATAATCCAACTTCAGCCTGAATCATCACCACGGTTGAATACAGTGTTAAAAATCTCAAACGTATTCCCCTTCAAAACATTTCTTATGGTGGTGACAGCTATTGTGGTGCAGCCCCTGCTCAAGCCACATCCACACGCAGGCATGTATACATGCACATGCACACACATGCACATACAGACATGTATACATGCACACACGCATACATGCACACACGCACACACAGACATGCATACATACATGCACATACATGCATGTGCAGGCATGTATGTATACATGCACGTGCACACGCATGCACATGCAGACATGTATACGTGCACACAGAGACATGCATATGTTCACATGCACACAGAGACATGTATACATGCACAGACTCAGACATGTATACATGCACATGCACACACATGGACACACAGACATGTATGTATACATGCACATGCAGCGTGTCCAAACTGACTTTTCCTGACCAACACTCCACCCCCATTCAGAAAAGGGGCTGCCAATTCTTTACATTAATGTTACTTGCAGCAGTCATCATTTGTTTAAAAGTCAATGTGCCTCCAAATTTCCGGTCTCATAAGTCAGAACTATCTAACTCTCCCATCATCAACGACCCATGAAAACTCCGAGCCGTTGGTTCATCTCCACTTTTATCCTCGGTCGCTTTGCCATGGGAAGCTCCTGGGTGAACCTAGAGGCTCCCAAACAAACGATGCCCAGGAACATCCTACGATTAAGTGCAGCCGTGATTCCTTCCCGGGCAAGGGCTGACCCAGTGTTTATCTGACCGAGCAGGGAAGCGACCCCGCCGCCTCACACACCTTCCTCAGCAACGGTCGTGGTTTCTTTAAAAGGGAATCCCAGAAACATTCAAGGACTTAAACTTCAAGGAAGGGTAATCTGCTAAAGGTTTCCTTCCCTCTCTCGACTGTGGTGTTTGACAAGTGACCTCGAATGAGCACGGCAACATTTTTGCAAGATTCCTCTGACGTCACTTTTTTTTTTTTTTTTACTGTAGGCGATGGCTCACAGCCGGCTTTTCAGGTTTCTTGGCGCAAGGGTCTAATTACCAACCTTATGCAAAAACAGCAGCAGGTTACGACAGGCTGGAAAATTGCACGGGCGAAACATGAGCTCGGCCTTCTGGCTGATGCTGACGGTGAGTCAGTAGCAGCTGGCCAGGAGCCCAGGTTCTGCCCACAAGGTCTGGGGGCTGCCGTGGCCAGGACCCTTCTTCATGGGCATCCGCCTTTCCCTCCTCCCGGGAGGGCAGGTGGGTGCCCCCAAAGGTCCCCCCGTTCCGTTCACCATGTCCTCCTGCGCACACGTCGGGACAGGGCCGCTCGCTTTTCTCCTTCTCCATCTGAGTGAGATGAGAAAGGTCCCCTGACATTGTCTCCCGCCAGATTCCTCCAAGGGATGGACGGAAAAGGGGACGGAGAGTAAAGGCAGCCGGCCCCGGACTGCCACCGAGCTGCCGGTGTTCCTACCCCAAAAGGACTCCCTTTGGGAAGCTGACAACTACCCCGAGCAAATATTCACATTGTCCTCCAATTCTGTGATGACGAACATTTTCGTTGATTATTCCATTTCTATGTATCGAGCAAAAGAAAGTCGGTGTGCAGAAGGCTGGAAGCCACTGCTTGCGGGGTTTGACCACAAAGGGGTGCAGAGCACCTTCTGGGGTGACGGGAGTATTTTATGTGTGTTTGGCGTGATGTCACACAGAAGGTGGTGGTCACATGGTATGTCTTTGTGTGAGCAAAATACAGCCTTTGGGGCACCCTGGCAGATGGAAGTTGGGCACACATTTCAAATTATTTAAAAATAACTCATTAAACTGCTTTCTAAATTATTTCACGAACTTCCAGTTCTGTTTTGCTGTTATTTTGGGTTTTCTTTGTTTGTTTGTTTTCTGTTTTCTATGGCGGAGAACTGTTCTCCATTTATGTTTTGCTGTTGTTAAAGTGAAAGAAGATTGAAGCTTTAATTAACAGAAATTCCCTTTTTTTTTTTTTTTCCTTGTAAAGCTTGTCTAACAAGGTTTTGGTGGTGACTCTGCATTTTCCAGATGTACTGTTAAAATTTTCACTTTCCTATTGCTGTCTCAATTCTACCCTCTAACATGGTGTTAAAAATCCATCACGGTGTCGTCCCTGCCATTTGTAATCTTGCCTTGGTATCCTGGGCTGAAGCTCCACCACGATAACCTCCTCCCTCGAACACGAGCCTTGTGCAGAAGGGAGCTAATAACTGGAGAATTGTCAGATAAGTTATCCAAGAAGACATCAAGATGTGTTTGTATCCAAACTTGATCTCCATAACTTTGAGTCACTAAGAAATTCAGGGCTCTAATGAGAAACAAGTGAGTTGGGAGAGCAAGCTGTCAGAGAGGGTTGAGCAAACATATTAAAGCAACGTGGCAAAGAAATAGAACATGGAGATTCCTAAGCCCTAAGACTGGATTTGAATTTCACGTGGGAAGGGCTTTCTTTGCCAGGGAGATCTTTTAAATTCAACACGTCGGTTTTAATTAAATTACAACTCTGAATTAGACATAAATCAACCAGACCGGTTTGGGTTTCATTTTTAGCACAAAGAGTCTATCATCTTTTGCATTTCATACAAAGCTAATTAAATATGGATTTATGGCTCATGGCACCTTGAATCATGGGAGGACTTTCCAGAACGTGCTGACCCGCTGGGAAGGGAACTATTTTGTGTGTAATAACTGAATGTCAGACATTTGCCACAAGCCACTCTGCTTCTAAAAGCTAGATGTATTTTTCTGGGCGTGTAAACAAGTCTCATAAAACTCTCATTGTTTCCCTGTCCCTGGTAACAGCATAAATGCAACAGTAACTGAAACTCTCTGTTTGCCGCCAACAAGATTCCGACACAATGGCTCCTGTTCCCACGTTCAGCCCATCCCGTCCCAACCAGCACGGGCCAGGGGAGCTCCCGCCATTCCCTCATTCACAGCCATCCTCTCCCCTCTCCGTCCCCCGCACAAGCTCATTGTTGAGGATTTGCAGTGCCGGTTGCAGTGAGCAAACATATTTGCGCTGAGTTTATCGGATGCGTTGCAAACCCCATGGCAGCTTGGTCTCTTAATCGCTGGGACCTTTCCTGTACAGGGACCTGCCACTCCTTAGCTGAGGGGGTTCGCACGCTCAGGTTGGAGAGAAGAAATACACCAAATAAAGACATCCCTCGACTTCTTCCCACGTCAGAGATAAGCCCTGTCCTTGTGCAGAGCCGGGATGCAAGAAGAAAAGTCCCGATTGTCCATAACTGATGGAAAAAATAAAATGCAGCAAACCCGATAAATGGTCACAAGCCGCGCTGGTGTGCATCTCGCCTGGGAGCTGAGATTCGATGCCCAGAGGAGGGTCGAGCGGGTTTCCCCGACTTCTCCAGCCCCACTGTGGCTTTTGGGAGGCTGCAGGAGGCTATAAGATGGAACATATCTGGAATCTTTTAAAAATAAGAAGGTAATCGTAACGGTTTTGACGAGAAAAGAGGATCTTTGTTGAGAATCCATCTGAAGGGGGGACGCGGCAGCGTGGGACGTCTGAGGCCGTGCAAGGAACAGCGAGAACAGACGGGGAAGCCCTCGGAAGAAACCTGGAC